GGAAAAAAATTATTTGTTTGAATTTATGGGAGTAATTCATATAGGGAAAAAAATTCTCGTGCTCACAGTGACGAGGCTAGGACACGAAAACCATATAAACCTGTACAGTTAAATCACATACGAGAAAAAATAATAATAAAAATTTAACAGGTAAAGACGGGAAAGAGAAACATGCTGAGGGAAATATCAAATTCTGACAATAATAAAGTAAAGAAACAAGGTAAATATCAAACTTTGAACCAACAGAAATGACAATACAGTAACACGTGCACGGCATCACCCTTCGTGCTTTTACTCTCGTTCTCACCATAAAAATTAACAGAAACGGCACGGCATCACTCTTCATGCATTAACTCTCTCATAGTCATGGCACGACATCACTCTTCATGCATTATTACTCACAACAATATGGCATGACATCACCCTTCGTGCATTAATACTCATTGAATATGGCACGCCATCATCCTTCGTGCATTAACACTCTCTCACAATATCGGCACGTCATCACCCTTCATGCTTTAAACTCTTCCTCCCCCAAACAATAGAAACAATAATACCCTACAAGGGAATCAGCTATAACCAATCTCGTTTCAACAATTAAATTCACAATGTAAGTCTCAACTTGAGTCAACACTCAACAATTTCCCAATAACAAGAAAATATAACCACACTTGTTCAACATGAAGAGTAACCAGCTTAAGCATGAACAATACGTGATAAGAGACATAATGGTTACAAGTATAAGACTCATTTGCATGCTATAACCCAACAACAACGTATAGATACTCGTCACCACACCTATACCTCGTACTCAATAATTAAACACGTAGAAAATAAGACAACGACACCTATTCCCTCAAGCTAAGGTTAGACTAAACACTTACCTCGATTCCACGGCCAAAAATCAAGCCTCAATTACCGCTTTACCTCTTGGTTCCACTTCCAATCCACTTGTATATAGTCATAATTAACTTAATAACATCAATAAATACTAAAGAACTCAATTCCCATGCATAATTATAAATTTCCCAATATTTTCCCCAAAAGAAGTCAAAAATCGACCCCGGACCCGCTTGGTAAAAATTCGAAGTTCTTTCTAAAATCCGGTTAACCATTCACCCACGAGCCCAAATATGCAATTGGTTTTGAAATCCGACATCAATTTGAGGCCTAAATCCCGAAATTTTGAAATTCCTAAATACTACCCAAAAACACCCAATTTCCCATGAAAAGCCCTAGATTTTATGACGAAATCTTGTAAAAAGATGAAATAGATTGGAAAAAATAAGTTAAGAATCATTTACCTATGTTTTGGGGAAGAACTTGTTCTAGGAAAATCGCCCTTGGAGTTTAGGTTTTGAAAATTTGAAAAATGAATGAAAAATTCCGTCCAAGACCCTTTTACTCAGCTGCAGATGTCGCATTTGCGACCTTAGCTTCGCAATTTCGAAGCTCGCAAATGCGAAGGTGCCATCGCAAATTCGAGGAACCTTACACCTCTGTTGCCTTCGCAATTGCGAACTCAATTTCTCCGCAAAAGAGACCAAAAGATCGCATTTGTGATCACTACCTTCCCACCTTATTTCGCAAATGCGAAGGTTTCCTCGCAATTGCAAGGTCTGCCTGGCCTAGCTTCTCTTCGCATTTGCGATGAGGAGCTCGCAAATGCGGAACCTACAGGATTCGCAATTGTGATGCCTGATCTCGCAAACGTGAGATCAGAGGCCTACAACAAGTTCAGCTATACTAGCAAAATCTTTTAAGTCCAAAACACTCTGTGGCCTATCCAAAACTCTCCTGAGCCGTCGGGGCTCCAAACCAAACATGCACACAAGTCTAAAAACATCATACGGATTTACTCGTGCGATCAAATCGCCAAAATAATATCTTAAACAATGAATTTAACACCAAAACTCATGAAATTCTAAAAGATAGTTCAAAATTTCTATTTTCTCAACCAAGGGTCCGAATTACATCAAATCTCTTCTGTTTTCACCAAACTTCACAGATAAGGTCTAAATACCATAACAGACCTATACCGGGCTCCGGAACCAAAATACGGGTCCGATACCAACGAGATCACACGCTATTCCATTTCTAAAATTCCTTATATTTTCCAGCAAACAATTTTCTTCAAAAATTTATTTCTCGGACTAGGGACCTCGGAATTCGATTCCGGGTATACGCCCAAGTTTCATATTTTATTACGGACCCTATGGGACCGTCAAATCACGGGTCTGGTCTGTTTACCAAAAATGATGACCAAAGTCAACTTTAATCAATTTTAAAGGCAATTTAAATATTTTTCTTTAAATTTCACATAATAGCTTTCCAGAAACGCGCCCGGACTATGCACGTAAATCGAGAAAAAGAAAATGAGGTTTTCAAGGCCTCGAAACTCGGATTCGGATTCTAAAACACAAGATGACCCTTTGGGTCATCATATTTATCTCCTGGTCAGGCTTAGGAGCTGAAAGAATCTGGTTTATGGACAGAGTACGCAGAAGATCGGTACGAAAGCTCATCTCTGCTGCATGCATTATGATAGTGGCGGAGACACCTTCAACCAAGCAGGGTGGCAGCTGATGCCGCTTTGCAGATTAAGTAATACTCGGTCGTGTTCCGTTAATATATGATATAGTTTGACTATGCATAAAGCATAGGAAAGAAATGAAATTTTTTGTAAATTGTTAATATGGCATAACATATGGTGTTTTAAATTTACCATATATAATATACGTGTGACTATAAAAACTTGTCATTAAAGATAAATTATTTAAAGTAATAATTTTCAAACTTAGAATCGTGTCATTCTTTTTTAAATGGAGGAATATATATATATATATGTATATATATATATATATATATATATAATGCAAAGTAAACATTAATTAGGGACATGAAAGGAAAATCTTCGGACCTAATTGTCCCAAATCCATACTCGTCTAAGACAAATAAATCGTGACAAAAAATACACACCATTTATACAAAGTCCTTTGTACGTCACTCGGTCACTGCATGCAAAAAAGGCCTGGTGATATCTTTTGGCAATCTGCTCCTCAGACCAAGTCTTAAACTAGTGGGTAATACTAAAGGATAGGATTTTACGTAGCACCCTCGTGAAAGCTCTCGTACGGCCAGTATCTTTAGATTCCATCTGAATTAGTACTTATTTTTGGAGCAGAAAAATGGTAGAATTACCAGAAATTTTTTTATTTAACATTGACGCTATCAGAATCTCTTTAGATTCAGAAAGAAGAGGGGGTATTGAAAGTTTTCTTTGTGGGATACTTATTCTTGTTATGCATATGTGAATATTGTTTAATTCTCGTGCTCCTCTTGTGGTTCCTCGGGAGACGAATCACCAATATTCTAGCACTAACTGGCAGAATTTGTGCCGGAGGCACCTTCCTACCCGGCTACCCGAGATGCCATTTAACATTGTTTCATCTAGGGGTGACATTGGTTCGGTTCGACTGGTTATTTTATAAAATTTGTACCATACTAATTTTTTGGTTATTCTATTATGTATAATCAAAATTAGACTTTTCGAAACTGTACCAATCATATCGGTTTCTCTTCGGTATCGGTGATTCGGTTAATTTTCGGTGTATTTGTAAATATCATGTAAAATTCACCAATAGAAGTAGAATGCAATAACATACGTTCTTATATAGGACTTAGCACAACTCTTTAGATATTTTTACTATTTAAAGAGTGATGAATTAAAAAAAATGAAAGATGACTAGAGTATAGATCCATCAACTATTCTACAACAACGTAAAAGAAACCAAGCAATGACAAAGAAAATATAAATCACACAAGTAGAAAGATATTAACCAAGTTAGAACTCTAGAATAAAGTTTATAGAAGATTAAATATTGAAAAAGATATATCTAAATTATATGAAAGGAAACGTATTCAATAATTGTAGTTTGCTACTCGTAATCGCTATAATACTTTGTGTCTTGCTAATAAATATACTTGAAATAACTTAGTTTAAATAGAAGTAGCATAATAAGTTTTAGGAATTAGTATTTTGAGTTTAATTGTTTGTTGGCTTGTAATAGTTTTCATAATTCCAAGGCCCAAAGAAAAATTTAATGCATTATTATTTTTAAACTTACTAGATATATATTTTTTTCACATGTAAAATTTATTCGGTACGGTTCGGTATTTTTTCGGTTTATTTTTATAAAATAAAAAACCTACCCTAATAATCGGTGCTATTATAGATTTATATAAAAACCTACGGTTTCTTAAAAAGAAACCTAAAAATCAGTTCGGTGCGATACATTTTGGTCGGTTTAGTCGGTTTTCGAATATCCATTGACACCCATAGTTTCATCGCAAACAATATATATGTAACCATTATTATTTCCTTTTAATATAATACAAAGTAAATATTACTCCATTTGTTTTAATTTTTTTAGATGATACACTTTTCTTATTAGTCCGTTCCAAAAAATGGACACATTTCTTCGATTGGAAATAATTCAACTTTAAACTCTTTATTTTACCCATTTTATCCCTAATAAGAAGCTTTTATAAGCACACAAATGTTATGGTCCCACAAAACTTTTACCCCTCATACTTTTATGATCATAAGTTTCAAAAGTTTTTTTTTCCTTAATTCCGTACCGAGTCAAACTAACTCATCTAATTTGAAACGAAGGAGTAATTAATTTGGGATAACAAAATATAAACTTACGCTCAAACTTTGACACAAATAAAATCTGATTTATGATAATAAACAGCTCTTTATACAAATAGGTTATAAACTGATTGTACATATATATATATATATATATATATATATATTCGCCACCTATTTTTAGTTTAAATGGTTAGATGGACTACTATTTAAGTTAATTCGGCTCGAATAAAATCCCACGTATACCACTGACACGACCCACACCGCTCACTCCTCTAACGCTGGACCTCTATAAGAATCAGCACTTTGCCACCTCTTTTGCACACAACAGCTACGATCAGTCACTAGACTCTTCTGCTAATCAACTCTCCTTCTTGTTCTTCCAAAAATGGCATCAAGCTCAATGTCCTTCCATGGCTCTTGGACAGCAGAGCAGAACAAGGCCTTTGAGAAGGCTCTGGCGGTGTACGACAAGGACACTCCCGACCGGTGGTCCAACGTTGCCAGAGCTGTTGGAGGGAAGACAGCTGAAGAAGTGAAGCGACATTATGAAATCCTTGTGCAGGATGTCATGTCTATTGAGAATGGTAGGGTGCCCTTTCCCAACTACAGGACTACTACAGGAGGTCGCACTAAAACGAACACTGCTGATAATTAATATTACCAGAGGTAGGATGTAGTTCTATTCATGTAATACTAGTACTATCTATTGGATAAATAACCTCCATTCATCCAAAGTACATGAATTTACTTAGTTCGTGTATTCAAAATTATTGTAAGAAAACATGTACCATCTTGTACTTGTACTTCGGAAACAGAAAAGCCAAGAATAAGTTATTATGACACATGTACTAGAGTAGAAGATTTCCTATGAATACCTAAATAATGCCAACTATTTTCGAAGCCAAGTTGAATGAAGGTTTCCTTCATCTTCTCCTCTCCATCTGTCCAAATTTTTCAACATTGTTGTTGTTATCACTATTGGTACATACTTTAGGCGTTGGATGCGATAACATCAATAGCTTTTCAATCGAACAATATATATTCAAAAACTTTTAAAACATACTTTGATAATAAATTCTTTTATATTTTCATAAAGTAATAGTGATTTTACTATAGAGTATTTCATACCCATTGATTTAAAATTTTGAGTACGTCTACAATTATCTTTGTATTGGAATGTATCGTCGGTTTCAATATGGAAGCTCTAACATACTAATTTTATGGGAAGCCTATGCTTCGACCCACTGCAGCTACCACCAGCACATAAAAATTAGTACTTCTTTCTATCTCAATCCATGTGTCATATTTTTATTTTTAATATGTCTAAAAAATATTATCATACTTCTTTCTGTAATAATAATTTAACTTTAAATTTTTTATTACAGCGTTAAATGAAACAATTTGTAGCAATAAAAATATCTATGACTTGTTTTAGATCATAAGTAAAAAAATTTACTTTCTTTTTTAAACATCGCACCTATATTAGTAGATACATAAATTAAAATGGAAGGGGTACTAACTCCACTGTCGTCAAAACCTTGATCAGTTACTTTTTCAAACCAAAACCAATGAGTGAGATGGAGTGGTTGCAAGGAACATAGTTACCATACATTTCAAGAAAGGAGAAGTTTTATTTTGTGTCTTATATAACTTACACTAGTTGTATGGGGTTCTTTTTTGTCTTATAAATTTATGGACCTCAATCTTACACTTTTGGATCCACAGAAATCTGGGTCCACAAAACTGTGAGACAAAAAAATTACCTCATACACTAGTGTCAGTTATATGAGACACAAAATAAAATTTTCCCTCGAATGATAATAGTGAAACCACAATGTTTTCTTGAGCATACTTAGCTTGACATCTTCCAAAACAGCAAAGAAAAAAGCCACGGGGGGTGGGGGGGTGGGGGGAGGGAGGAATGTGATGTTCCTACATTCATTTTCTTTTCCGGACAGGGGTGGAGTAGTACAGTTTGTCCTCATCCGAAAACTAGGAATACAAAATAAAGGCTACTTAACATTTTCTCTCCTTTCGTACTTAATTTTATTTCAAGTTTAACATCTCTACTGATATATTGTTGGGGTCAACGCACACATAAGTATACACGGTTGAGAAGCAATAAAATAATAAGAAAATATATGCGGTCGAGAAGTAATAAAGTGATAACAAAGTATCGTTCCCACGATGACTTATAATCCACCATCGTCTAAACTAAACTAGTTACAATTATTTGCTTATTGGTTTTAAGGAAAATGATTGTGACTTTTATTTAGGTAAAATTACTACGAAAACTAACTAACAAACAAGAGAATCGCAATGCAAATAAAGCTGACGAACAACTTGAGAGCGAATTCAATGAGATAGGGATATTCCTAGGTTATGGGGTTAATGTCTATCCGATTGAGTTTTTCGGTTAATTTAACTACTTGATCTATCTGACTTGTTGATTAACAGGGTTTATTGCTTGCGAGGTTCTTTCGACGCCTCGCTCGCATATTCAAGTCAACCTAATATTATACGTCTATAGAATCTGAGTTAGCTGGAACACATGTATATCTCCTGCAATAATAACCAAGTAAGACTATTAGAATATGTCTATCCTAACCGCGACTCTATTTTCGATGCCCGAATTCAAGAACTTACACTTTTCAACCCAATATGCAATCTATAGTTCCCACTTTCGAGTTCAACTATAACTTTGTAGATAGTATTCCACTGTTAGTTGTACAGTAAAATAATTAAGTACAAATCAGTATGATTAAACCAAGTAATAACAACAACCGTCAACTATCAATATTCAAAAACAACCCATAACCCCGGAACAAGAGGGGTTTTAGCCACTCATGATCGTATAAACAATCAAACTTTTTTTTTTGAATCATAAAACTACAAATACGAGATAACAAATGGAAGATGAGATAATTTTGTGCTCCATTTGTGTTCCTTATCTCTCGCCTTGAAAATACGTTCAACACCCTCTTAGACACGTTTAAGAGTTATTTATTGGTTAAAGCCAACATCTCTAAGTCTAAAATTAACAAAGAAATAATTTCTTTGCGGACACGGATAAGGGCACCAGACCTAGTGAGGGATCTCACCTCTCTAGGTGAGGGGCGAGATTTAGGGGCTCGTCTAGCGAGCTGGACACCGTCTCTATCCAAGTAGGGCGAGGTTTGGGGCGAGCTCCTCTCCTTGCCTTGCGCTGATTTTCCTTTTGTGCTCTTTCCTTATATTTTCAACATCATTGTCTGGAACATTCATTCCTCTTCTCATTCAAATGGTCTTATACATAAAATCAACTCAATTAAGCTAAAACGTCGCATAATATATTATTAAAATACCAAAATGTTAGGTAAGTAATATACCAAAATATAGACATGTAGCCAAACATCATATGAAGTGTAAATTAGGTCATCTGGAAGATAACAACAACCATGCATAATAAGTGAGATTAGTTATATGAAAAATAAGGTGGATAACCCACTATAATAGGCTTAAAAAATACATTGAAACTGCAAAAAAAAAAAAAATTACACTATCAGTTGATATAGTTTAGATCCTTTTATTGCTAGTTTTTATTACTAATGTCTTCTTAGCTTGTCATGAGCCGAATCACATCAAAGGACATGATGACATTTACCTACTCTTTAGGCAAGCCAACACTCAACAATATTTATAAAATTTAATTTTTAATCCATTAACAGAATCATGATAATAAAAACAAGGCAGAATAAGTCATAACTCAATAGTAACATTTTGAGAATCTCGCACATGGTCTAACATGACCACAACTGTCTCAAAAACTTTCCCAAAATCTGGGTGTACAACTAGTCACAAACATCTAATAAGAGTACAAGATTTCAACTGAATTCAATGTCTGTCTAAAGATGACAAATACAAAGATAGATATCAAGAGTAGGGAAGGGAGGGCTTCATGTATTGCGGATCGAGTCAAGTAAGTAGCTCACCACAAAATCTCCTAGTAGTACTCCTACTCCGGTTGGTGTATTCCACTAAAACTAGCCTCAGAACCTGCACAAAAATATGCAGAAGTGTAGTATGAGTACAAAATATAATACTCAATAAGTATCAAGTATAACCTCAAAGAGGTAGTGGGGAGAGGTCAATAGTCGAACCTACTATTATCTCAAGAACCACAAAAGGCATTACAAAATATGAAAATAAGCATGATATCATCAATCAAATCTACCAATAAAAGTACAATAACACCGAATCATACTTTTCAAACGGGAGATAACACACAATATCAAGTATCTCAATCTTACACAGTCAGGATATAAGGCCATCAACAGTATAATAATTATAAGAGTCACTTCATGAGTCTAAGCTGCCAATGTATGTTTACAACCCAATACCAATTCTCTGCACGAATTAATATAATAGACACATACCGAGTGTCCAAATCAATACAAATTTGAGTATCCTATGCTCACAAGGCCCAAAGTAATATGGGTAATCACCATACTCCGGAGGGACGATACCAAATTCAAGTACCAGTGCAACCCGATCCACTAATAATCATAGTAATATCATTGCGGCGTGCAATTCGATCCACATATTCTACCGTTGAGGTGTGCAATCTGATCCACATCTATAATAATACTGTTGCGGCATGCTACCCGATCTACATATACTACCATTGTAGTGGCAACTCGATTCACAACATTATCAATAACTAATATCACTCATAATATTCGTGGTGCCAAATTTCTCCTCTTTTCACGATATTCGACTCTTCAACTCATAGATATGTGCATATGAGGAAACATAATCAAAGGCATCGAATCATTATAACAAAAATGTGGATAAAAGCACACATGGCTAAAAGATGACTATAGCTAATCATGTAATTCAATTCATCTCAATAATCTAATAAGCAATTTCATCATTCAAAGGTCTTATTATAATATTTAACATGAATGAGATAAGCTATTTAATAACCAAATCGTGCATCAATAAGATAAAGCATATGACTATGGCTCGATAAAGAAGCTCGATATGGCAACAATCATTTATGCCCAATTCAACAAGACAACCCTAAACATGCGTCTAAACCACAATTGTGAGTCATCACGTAGTCATAGAATCAATGAAACATGATTAATAAACTCACATGCTCCGCATAAGGCATAATTATAATCAAAACATTTACCGGATATGTTCATAACCTAGCTACACATATACGATCATCACCTTGCATATATGTGGCTCCTAAATTGAGCAACAAGTAGCAAATAGATCACCTACGAGAAAAATTATCTCTTATAAGGATAGACAATAGACTTACCTCCACCCGACAATCTTCAACCTTCCAACACAACTTTCCCTCTCTAATAAACCTCCAAACGAGTCAAATATAGTAAAATACAACTCAATAATATAAAACAAAGCCATAGGAATCAATTCCAAACAATAAAGCTTCAATCTTTAATCAAATTCCCAAAAGTCAACAATAGTCAACTCGGGGCCACATAGTCAAAATCTGAGTCAAGCGGTATATCCTAACTATCCATAACCCCATCAATATAAATGTATAATTAGTTTCCAAAACTAAATCCAAATTGACTCCCAAATTCCGAATTTATACTCTTCAAAATTATAGACAAAATCCCCAAATTTCTCCTTCAAATTTTATAATTTAAATGTAATAATTCATGGGGAAAAGGTGTATAACCAAAATCGAGTTGAAATCACTTACCCTCAAATTTATGGGGAAAATATCATCCTGAATCGCCTCTAGCCGAGCTCCAAAACTTAAAATAGTGAAAATAAGCCAATCCTTTGAATTATATCATTTAGTGAATTCCGCATCAGCGAACAATTTGATTGCTTCTGCAATGTCGCTTTTGCGATAATACCCTCGCAAA